CATGGAGTGACTCCGTGACCCAAGCTGTGTCTATCTGAGGACTCTGTTGTCTCAACATGTGATGGGAAGAAGGAGATGGGGCGGGAGGGGAGGGGAAGGGTGAGAGGGAGAGAGAGAGAGAAGGAGAGGAGGAAGAAGAAGAAGGAGGAGGAGGAGAAGAAGAGGAAGAGGAAGAAGAGGAGGCGGGGGGAGGAAAGTGGTGAAGGTTGTGGTACCGGAGTTGAAATGCTTTAGCCTTGGAAAGCTCACACAACTTCAGCTCACAACCTCTGTCCAGATGCAATCACATGGCTCCTGGGCAGGAATATAGGGGAGCACGCATGGTATTTGTTGAGCCACACTGTCAGTGCCCCACAGAAAGAGCGAGGCTGGTTGGAAACCTGGGGCTCTTTCAAACGGCTGGAGCTTATTGTGCATGTGTACTGATGATTGGAGAGCAGGGTGTGAGTGGGAGAGAAATGACAGGGAGTGACCCAAGCTGAGGTCAGTCACAGAGGGCCTTGTTAGTCATATTAAATGCCGAGGAATCTGGACTTTAGGGAGACACGAAATAATTTCATTAGGGCATAACAGGATCATATTGGCAGTTCTTCAGGAAGGTCATCTTAGGAAGAGCAGGCTTTCAGTGGAGACAGGGATGGAGGTGCAGTCTCAGAGAACAGGTAAGAAGATCCTGCAGTCCACTAGGTGTGCCTGGATAGGGAAGGGGCTCTTGGGGAGACAGGGGTGGGTGCATTTGAGAACCATGTAAGATGTGGTATAAACAGGAAAGGAGTGAAGGAGAGGTGGTGTAAAGGTACAGGGCAGAGCTCTGACTTGTGGGTTGAGCAACTGGAAGGAGCGTTCTATGCACCTGGTACTCAGGCAAAACAGGAGAAGTAAATTGAGACAGTGTGCTCAGTTTGAGACATGCTGAGTCTCAGGGTGTGCAGAACATCGGGGAAGAAGTTCAGGGAGCATTTGAATCTAAGGGTCCGGAGCTTGGGTGATGAAGTCTGGTGCTGCTGACTGGGGATTCATGAGCACACAGGTGGTATTTGCAGTTGTGATGGTGGAAAGTTGAATGGAAAGTTATCCCTGCTCCTGAGGATCTACAAGTCTAGTGTAGGGCAGAGACCAGGCATGCAATGGACAATGAAACTCGGGGTGAAGGGATGCAACAGAGGTCTTTGTAAGGTTCAGGGGTGGCACAAAGCCAGGGCAGGTTAAGGAAGGTTTGACAGAAGAGGGGCAAGGCCTAGAGAGAGCAAGGTAAATGGATCAGCCAGCAGGGAAGGCGGGGGTCCATGTGGAGCGCATGCACAAAGGCATAGCAATGACAGCAGCACCGCCCAGCCAGGGAAGTGCTGGTCTCTGGAGCAGTTCAAGTGCTTGTCTGAGATAGGAGGCAGCAGCTGCCCTTGAGGACTTGGAGGAAGCACTTGTCTATCAATATCTTAGCAGTGCACACAGGGCTCCCAGAGCCCATTTTACATTGCCCAGGGTTTCATAATGAGGGATTTAAAAAATTCAAAGTATTGTTTGTCATGGCAGCTTTCAACTATATACAAACAGAGTAAATAGCCCACAAACCCGCATGTCTTTATCATCCAGTTTCAGTATTCACATTCTGCCAGTCTTTGTTCATGACATCCTTTCTTCTTCTTTACATGGCCTGAGTATTATTTTTGAGTAGACAGAAGAGAATAAGGAGGTACTCATTACCTAGTGCCAAGAAACAGCAGTTTAAGGTCACTCCTTCCCACCCCTGTGCTGTCCCCTACCTGTTCACTGGCTCTCCATGTTACTCTGAAGCCAAATCATGACATCAGACCATTTCACCTATGAAAAAGTCAATGAATACATCTTTAATAGGTGTAATAGGATTGTCACAGCCAATGAAATGAACACTAATTCATATAGTGGTGTTTTGAAAATCATGAGGAGGTGGTGTTTAGTAAAGCTACAAACCCTGAGGATAGATCTGACTCTGTCACCAGCCACCCTGGGTAAGACTGGGTGACCAGGATGGAGAAGGAGCCAGAGGACGTGGACAAGTAGTCAGGGACATGCAGGATTGTGAGGGAGGCAGCTTGTGGGGCCAGGAAATGCTGGGAGGGGTGGGATTCAGCCCTAATGGATGGCCAGGGCAGGCAGGAAGTGGTAGAAGGAAGGATAGAGAAGGAGAGAGGGAAAGGGGAGGGAGGGAGAGACAGAGGGGGGAGAGAGAGGGAGGGAGAAAGAGGGTGAGGCAGGGGAGGGAGAGAGAGAGAGAGAGGGAGAGGAGCTGAAGCTTAAAAAAGGGCCAAGGATTTAGTTCCATGCTTCTGCTGCTTGCCTTTCAAGCGCAAGGTCCTGTGTTGGATCCCTGGTACAAAAAAAAAAAAGAGGAAGCACGGGGAGCTGCTTGCCTTTCAAGCGCAAGGTCCTGTGTTGGATCCCTGGTACAAAAAAAAAAAAGGAGGAAGCACGGCACACCCACAGTACACCAGGTCCCGGGCCACTGCCCTGCCCCTCTGGTTTCCAGGAGAGGGGCTCCCTCATCGTGCCTGGCCTTTTGCTCACCACTCCTGGGACTTTTTTCGTGGGTCAGGAGAGGTAGGGATAGGTGTGTGCACATGTGTGTTAGAAAGAGCAGGGACTCTGAGCCTGGTGGAAGGACAGAGTGTGTGTGGCAGAGCCCAAGAGTGTCCAGGATGGGGTTCACCGAGGTGAGGGTGCAGGCTGGCTGCAGAGCCAGCAGGCTGCAGTGAGGCTAAGGTTGCAGGAATCTTGGGTCTGCCCACGAGGCTTCATCCATCCCACAGGGGCTGGTGCACAGGGCACCCCCAGTGTCCTGTGTGGGGGGATGGGAGGAGGTAGCCTCTCAGGAAAGCTTAGGAAAGCCATGAATGCTTAGCACAGGAAAGAAATGGAAATCATGAAGGCCCAACATAAGAAAGAAATGCAACCCATGAAACAGATTCAAACTGATATCTAGGAGATTAAAAACTCTATTAAAAGTATACACCACAGACTAACCCAATCTGAAGACAGAATATCAGATATAGAAGACAGGATGGTGGTCAGTGACTATGAAAAGAGATCTCTTAAAAATAGCAAGGGACCATGAGAAACCAATCCAACAACTCCTAGATGACTCAAAGAAGAATAATATTAGATTAATAGGAGTCAAAAAAAAGCAGGAGAAAGCAAAATGACATAAAAAACTGTTCACAGAAGTAATGGCAGAAAACTTCCCAAACAGAGCAAAAGAACTTGACATACAGATAAGTGAGGCATATAGGACTCTAACTAGTTATGATAAAAAAAATCTACACCTAGACATTTAATAATTAAGATCCTGGAAACCCAACAGAAGTACAAAATACTACAAGAAGTTAGAAGAAACAAATTACATCCAAAGGAAAGTCCATCAGAATCACAACAGACTTTTCAACAAAAACCCTCAAGTCATGGAGAGCGTGAAGTGAGGTATTTCAAGCTTCAAAGGAAAACAACCTCCTGCCTAGGCTGATGTATCCTGCAAAACTATCTTTCAAAATTGATGCACAAATAAGATACTTTCATGACTAAGAACACCTGAGAAACTTCATGAATATCAAACCAGCACACCAAACAACTTTTTAAAATATCCTAGAAAAAGACAATGAAGGTCACAACTCCATGAGGCCCAGAAGAGCAAATCTAATGGGCAAGAATTTAAAGGGAGAGGGAGAAAAATAAAAAAAGAACCAACAACAGGAAAATAACATGACAATGATAATCAATACATATCAGTTATAACCATCAATGTCAATGGCCTTAATTCACCCATCAAAAGAAATAGACTGTCAGAATGGATAAAGAAGCAAAATCCAACAATATGCTGTAACAAATCCTCAGCACGGGAATTAGCACAAAGAATCAATAATTGGAACCTCACATTTTAAAAAAAAAGTTTCTGCACTGCCAGAGAAATCACAAACAGAGCTAAGAGACAACCCACAATGTGGGAAAAAATTTTTACCAGATGCTCCTCAGACAAAGATCTACTATCTAGAATATCTAAAGAATTTTTAAAAAATCAGAGTGCAGACTGGTGTAACCACTGTGGAAAGCAATATGGAGATACTGAAAACAACTAGGATTAGAAGTCCCATTTAACCTAGCTATTCCTCTGCTGGGTACCTTTCCAAAAGAATTAAAAGAATTATATCACAGTGATACGTGCTCACCCATGTTTATAGCGGCAGTTTGTAATAGCTAAAATTTGGAGACAGCCCAATGCCTATCAACTAGATACTTGATAAAGAAGATGTGTTTTTTTAGAAAATAAAATGGAGTACTACTCAGCCATAAAGAATGAGAAAAGACTGGATGCACATTGAGGCCATATTCTTTTTTTTTTTTTTTTGCTGTACCGGAGATCAAAGTCCAGACCTTGTGCTTGCAAGGCAGGCATGGTGCCACTGAGCTAAATCCCTGGCCCCAAGGCCATATTCTTAAGTGAAATTAATGTCACACATGTGTAAACGCCGAATAATTTCTCTGGTGTGAAAAACTAAAAGTGTAAATAAGGATCAAAAGGTATAATTGATATTGTATAATAGGAAGAAATGTCTAAAAGAGTAGAGGAAGTGGGAGCGAAAGGTAAAAAGGGAAAAGAAAAAAATATGTAAAAAGGAAAAACAAGGAGAAAGCCTTTGTAGATAGGGAAGGGTGGAGGGGCTGAAGAGAAGGCTGGGGAATGGGGAAAACTAAGATCCTAGGTAAAGGTACAAGATCTCAATGATGAATGTAACCGTATTGTATGCCTAAAATGTACCAATAAACTTATTAAAGTTTTTTTTTTTAAAGCATAGGGAAAGTGACCCAAGGAGGTGGGGTGGAGAAGGGGCCCCGGGGTGGGGGAGCAGACTCAGAGTCCCCGGGTGGGTGCTGACTCCTCTGGAAACCTGAGGATGATGTCACTGGCACAAAGGAGAACTCTGACTCCTCTGGAAACCTGAGGATGATGTCACTGGCACAAAGGAGAACTCTGAGGCTGGAGAGTGATTTCCTTCAGGGCTTCAGTGGAAGAGGGCGACAGAAGTATGGCAACAGACACCCAGACTGCCTGGACAGTCCACAAGCCCCTAGTTCCAGGTGAAGTCCCCAAGCCTCACTCTCCCAGGCCAATCTCTACCCTTTCTTTTGTCACTGGGAATTGAAGTCAGGACCTTGAGCTTGTGAGGCAGGCGGTGGCACCACTGAGCTAAATCCAGGGCCCCAAACCTTTTTCTGCTCTGCTTAGCCAAATTCACATCCTGTCAGCTGGTGGATTCCCCCTGAGGCAAACAGGTTACAGTGGACGGAGTCCTGTTCCGCTCTACAACTCCTGCAGTTGCCGGCCATTTGACAAAGCCTCCAGTGAATATTGGCAGAGCACTTTGTTCCTGGTTGTCATGGCCTGGATTGCAAGAGACCCCAGGTCCAGTAAGGATCTGTCCTAGGGAAGCATCTTTTTCTGCAGTTTCTTATTTGATTTTGCTATTGTTGCTGCTTTGTTTGTTTTTTGAGACAGGGACTCACTGTGTAGTTCAGGCTGGCCTTGAACTCACTATGTAGCTCATACTGGCTTGAACTCACAGTGATCCTCCTGCCTCAGCTGCCCGAGTGCTAGAATTCTAGGCATTCGCCACCAGACCCGGCTTGCAGTTTCTTATTTGAAACAGCACACGTTGGAGGTGAGCCACACTGATGAGACTAGACGCCATGGCTGGTGGCTACATGAGACCTAGGGGTTGAGGGTGCCAGCAGCATGGCTTCCCAGATTGCCAGCTTGGGGTTAGCAAAAGGAGGTATAGATTGAATGAACCAGACCCCGGGACAGTTCTTTATCTGCAGTAGTAATCACCACAGCTAACGTGTTGAGAGTATGTTTATGCCAATATTTCTAAGCACTGAGAGTATGTTTATGCCAATATTTCTAAGCACTGGTTTAACCCAGATTCAAAACACACATCATCTAATGTAAAAACATTATTCCTGATTTTACAGACGTAGACACTACAAGATGACATCACTCGGCTAAGGTCACACAGTTTCTGGGGCCAGTGTCCTGCTTTGCCTTTGTGAAGAAGAGGGAAGCTGCCCTACACTTCTCTCAAGAGAAAACGAGCTGATGTCAGGGATCCTTTCAAGAAAGCAGATTTCAGGGCCATTGCTGACATCACTACCCATTCAGCAAAATGTCCCAAAGGTGAATGCACTTCTGTGTCTCTGGTTTCACTTTTCAGTGCACGGTATGAACGATGCTTACTATACTGACCTTCAGCCACCAAAGGAAGGTGAATTTGCATTTTGCAAGCTCAGTCTAGTAGGTGGGGGAGTAACACGTTTTAAAAACATTTTGATGAAAATCAAATTGCTAAACTGTCCAAGGAATGAGCTTCCTATCTAGAAACTTGTCTACCTTGGAGACCCATGCACTCCGGGAGCATTAGTTTGAAAAGTGCTCTCTGGAGGACCCTGTTCTTATGTCACCAGTGGCATTATGGTGTCAGGAAGCAGGAAAGACAATTTTTCTCCACTATTTCCCTGACAAGTATCCCCTGAAGCTGATGGAGGTCACATGTTAGCATTCTTTTTCTTCCAGGGGACTTAGACTGAAATTCCCCAAATGTTTGGGATCTTACAGTGCTAGGCAGCCGGCAGTTTCCTCAGCAGTTTCGCCCCTCCTTACACAAAGCCATCACTGTTGCGGAAAATGAGGGCCCTGTGATCACTTGGCACCACCTCCTGCCTGGCATTTGCGTGGGAGAAGAACTTTTCTTTCTCCCTGGCAATGGATTCTGATCATAAAATAGGTCCCTTTCAGATCAACGGCTTCCCATAGGATGACTTCGTCCAGAGGAAGGAACTGAATGGTACAACACAGTGATTTTCTGGGGAAGCCTGGTAATGTCACTGAGAAATCTTGAGAGGCCTGTGCAGGCCTCAGTGCTCGCGGCTTCACCTGTACCCTCACTGCCGTCATCTCTCATCCAGGCCTCCCTCCTATTGTCCTGGCCTGCTCCTTGAATTTGTTTCAAAGAGTAGCATATTTGGTCCTTAGCCACTGTGACAGGCACCCTGTATTTAGTGGTTTAGATTTCTGGCCTTATCTTTTTTTTTTTTTTTTTGACAGGCTCTCACTATGTAGTTGAGACTGTCCTGGAACTCACTATGTAGCCCAGGCTGGTCTCAAATTCACAGCGATCCTCCTGCCTCAGCCTCCCGAGTGCTGGGATTACAGGTGTGCACCACCATGCCCGGCACTGGTCTTACCTTTAAATGTGGTTATAATGGTCCTTCACTAAAGATAACATTCCCCTGAATAACTTTCCTAAAAAATTAATATTGGTACATACCATGGTTTGGATCCTGAAAGTCTCCTAAGCCTATGTGTTATAGGCTTGATCCCCAGCCAGTGGAGCTCTTAGTAGGTGGCAGAAACTTTAGAAGGCAGGGCATAGTGGAAGGAAGTTAGGTCATTAGAGGAATGTGTCTTTGAAGGGGATTATGGGAGCGCAGCCCGCTTCCTCTTCCAGTCTCTCTTTTTCTGCCTCATGTTCATCAGATAAACAGCTTCTTCACCATGTGCTTTCACCACAAAATGTTGCTTGGCCACAGGCCCAAAGCAAGGAAGTCAGCCAATCATGGACTGAACCTTCCAAACGGAGAGCCAAAAATAGCCTTTTTCTCTTCATTAGTTAATTTTCTCAGTTGCTTGTTAAATAATGGAAAGCCTAGTAGTAATGGTTAGCTTATAGGACAGGCACAGCACTATATTATTAACTAAAATACAGATAATGCTTGCATTTCTCTAGTTTTTTTTGGTATCAGGGATCAAACTCCGGTCCTTGCATTTGCAAGGCAGACAGTGGTGGAACCACTGAGCTAAAACCCTGGCCCTCAGGTTGCATTTTGTTTTCCTGTCTCCTGTGATCTATGAAGTTTTCTTCTTTTTCATGATCTTGACACTGAGGTGTTTTATGGCGTGCCTCTCATTTGGGTTTGTCTGAAGCAGTCTCCTGATTAGGCCATGGTTATGGGTTTCTGGGAAGAAATACCAAAAATGCCGTTTTTCTTTGCACCTTATGGGGAGGTACATGAGGTCAACGTGACTTACCAATTGTGAGGTTAACTTTGACCAAATGGTTAAGGTGGCTCTGGCAGTTTCTCCACTGTCAAGCTCCTGTTTTCCCTTTTCTTCACTCTACTAGTGGAAGTGACTCCCTAGGTCCAGCCCACACTGAAAGGGTGGAGAATGAAGCCCTTTTTCCTAGAGCAAATAAAGCAAATTGTCTTGCCTCTGTGATGTATTTATATATTCAGTTATTTTCTTAATCAGTATGGACTCATGGATATTTATGTTTTTCTTTGGATTGTAGTCTCCTACTGTTCTTATCTTGTTTCTTAAATTGTTCTAGCCTTAGTCATTGGGATTCTTTCAGTTTGACTCCCATGCCCTTTTGACACACCCCGATTTTGTTTTCCTTCCATTTCCTCACTTTCTGGTACTTCGTGTTCCAGGCTCACTTTGTATTTTCCCTACTTTAGCCCCAGAACAAGTTCTTTCTTTGAGGAGCCCTACTCCTTTTACAGAGGAATGGGATTTAGAAACCAGGTCTGTAACTGCTGGGTGTGCTCACTGCTTCTGGATTGTCATTGCTTAGGTAGGAAAAGCTATCTATGTACTTATCCATGTGTGGACATGTCCTCCCTCTTTCCTCTTCCTCCTCCTCCTCCTTCCTCTCTCCCTCTCTCTCTCTCTCTCCTGTTTGAGACAGGGTCTCATTATGTAGTTCAGGCTGGCCTTGAACTCCCAGAGATCTCCCTGCCTCAGTCTTTTGAGTGGTGGGATTACAGGTGTGCACTGCCATGCCCTGTGGGCGTACATTTATTTCTGTATCTATCTGTATAAATACTTAAATAAAAGTAGGTTCATACTAATAGCTCTGATTCTAATCCAGCCTCACAGGGTTCATTCTAAGTCCCCACCTTCTCTCATTGTCACTTCTTTCACTGACAGTGAGACAGCTGACTCCATGATCTACAGTTTATTGACTCATTCATTCAACCCTAGCATACACCCAAGGTAGTCTGAGAACTGCTAATCCATACCTCTGTGGGAAAGCACTTATTAACTAAGGTGCAGAATTTTTGCAGAGTTCTTTTTGTCTTTAGCGTCACAGATTTCAATCCCCACGTAATTTTTCGTGGTAATTTAGGACAGCTCTCTTTTCTCCTTGATGGGCACATGACAATATTTTTAAAGCAATAGAATATCTGGCTTCTCCTTTGACTGTACCATTGTGTGAGGGATGAAGCAACCATGGCCTGCAGAGGTTGAACTGTTTCCTAAGGTCACCCGATCTGCTGGATCTACGATCAGAATATGGGGTTTTAGTACCTTTGCTGGAGTTGCTGTGTTCGTAGTGGGTCTGGGCTGCAGAGCTAGCTGCAGAGCCAATAGAACATCTGATCAAAGACGGTGAAGCAGGTCTGAGCAGCTTGAATCATCAGATGTCAGTGGAAGGGAAGCTTAGCGATCCCATGGCTCCGCCCACTTCCCTTACAGAGGGGGAAATGGAGACCTAGAGACATGATCCTGACCAAGAGGAGCCAGCTGGTCGGTGGGACAGGATGCAGGACTTTGCACTCCCATATTTGTATTCTTCCCACCACACTGTGTGGGCTGTGGGGAAGGAAGGTCACGGGTCTTCTAAAGAAAAAAGCCTTTTAAATTGTTTCAACAGGGTTAGGAGAATTTACTGTCATTGTCTAAACAGAGGAGTAGAACCAATTCCTTCATACTTGGAGCAGCTCAGCATGTGCAGAGAGCCGATGAAGAAATGCTGAATAGTTCTGGGAACTTAGTCTCTGCATATCACAGCAGTAGCGACCTCATCCAGAAGTGGTGACTAGAAGGATGTTGTGAATTCTAGATCTACCATAGTTAAGTAGCATCGTGTTGATTTCTCTTGTTATCCACCCAGCACCTAAAATGCTGAGGATAGTACTATCTTCCTTGCTCAGGTCATAGGGCAATGATAGTGAACCTTTTAGCATCTGACTGCCCAAACTGCAACAAACCCAAAATGATTTATTGCAGAGTGCCAAAATTGCAATTAAACCTGAAAACTGATGTTTTAGTTTAGACAAATCAACTGTTATCCAGTGCTCAGCTACTGGGGCAACTTGGCTCCAGTGTGGATAGAGAGGGCTCTGCTCGCCCACAGGGGCACAGCCACTGTCAGAGGGAAATTTTAAGCCTTTCTACTGAGTTATGGAAGGCATCAAAGGCTTTCCTTCTTTCCCTCTTTCTTCCTCTCCCTCACCCCTTTCTTCCTTTCCTTCTTTCTTTCTCTCCACCCCCAACTGCTAGCTTCCTAATCTTCAGAGTAGCACATGGAATAGAATAGGAATTCAATAAATATTTACAGAATGAATGAAGGAAGGATGATAGAAAATGCTTCTGGCAAAAGTACTCTGCTATCTCTAAAGCACTGTGCAGATGTAAGGGGATGTCAATGGTATTAACTAATGCTCTTCCCTTGGGCGAGTTGCCTAATCTGCACTTTAGCCTCCCCATCTGCAATCCAGGACGTTCCAGGCTCATTTTACATTTTGAATTAAATTAGATGACTTCAAAGGTACCTTTCATATCTGTAATTCTGTAATTTCAATGTTCACTGATTATTGTAAAAAGTATTATGAGTCTTTCCGCATTGATTTAAAGTACAAAAGCATCACATTCCATCATGGACTAGAGCAAGAATGAAATTGAATTCTTTGCATCTGTGAATCCTAATCGATTGATAGTGGCTGCCTGGAGTGCAGGGTTGAGAGGCTCTGCAGATCAGTGGTATAGATTAGTGATGTCTGTCATGGACACAGAATACAAGATAGCTGCAAGCATGCAACTTCCAATTAGATGCTTAAAATAGCCCTGGAATTTCTGGAAAATTATTTTTGTATGATAATAGAGAGACCACTGGATGGGGCCTGGGTTTCCTAAAGGTGAACACAGGTTTGAAGTGAGACTTGTCACCTTTCTGCCTTTGAGTGCCTCTTTTTTTTTTTTTTAACCTATCAGGGAAATTAAGAAGATTAACATAATTGACTGAGTGGTAAAAATGAAATCCAGACTCAGGATCTTTCTACTACCCTGAGACTCAAATGAACATATAGTATATGTTCTTGAAGAAAATGAGA